CCCCCCCCCCCCCCCAAGTCTTCTTGAAAAGAGAGGGCAGCTCACCGTAGTTCATGCCGATATGTGCGTGCAGGGGCATAGCGATCCCGAGGACGATGTCTAGAGGCATGGTAAGGGCGGATGGGCTCGTGGCCACGGCCGCAGGCACTCCGGCTAGAACCACCATGTTCACGGCATGGTACAGCTTCGTGCCCAACTTCCCATCATCGGCTGCAGCGCCCAGAAGCAAAATCCGCATAAGTCAGGTCAGGCCAGGCAAAAAAATAGATTCGGAACGAGCGATTAAGGAGGGAGAGGTACAGGTGAGGAGATGATGCGTTGTACCAATCATACAACGACAGCATCGGCCTGTCGTTCTTATCCTTCCTGACGAGGTGTCCTGACCCGTAGAACCAGATCTAAGCGGAGACTGCTGGATGCCTCGAAAAAAGTGGTGACGCGCAATCACAAACTCCAGTCACGCCCATACGCCAACAAAGAAGCAACGGTTCTCGGCGATCCACATACGATCATTGAGCAAATCGCCGAGCGGCTGAGGACGGACGGACACACATCCAGCATGTGGCCGCACACGTGTAAAACCGAGAGTACGAATTCAATCGCCGTCAAAAGCTAAGCGAAGCACGGTCTCGTGACGGGCTATGAAAAATATCTGTCAAATAGCACTCTGCGCCATGCTTACCGTTGAGTACGCTTGCGCTCCCATGGGCAGAAGACGTCTTTGGCACTGCTCGGGGGAAACGTGCAGCATGGGTGACGAGCGGTGCAAACAAAGAATGATAATCATCGCATCAGTGGTCAAAACGCAATATTTCCTTCTTTAAATCTGGCGTGCGCTACGAAGGCGCAGCTTTCGCAGCCAAAACGAGTGGATCTTCGTCTTCGTCTTCGTCTTCACAAAGAGAGAGGGGTTACGCCTTTGGCCCTCACGTACATAGAATGCAAGCAATATGTATGTGTGTGTTTTCGTCCTATTTATTATGGCGACAATTCCCTCATTTTTCGTGGTGAGGTGTGTAATACACTTTCCAGTGTTTTTTCGTAAAACTATGTCCAACCACCAGGGTCACACAGGACGAGGTAAACACCAGGGCATTTTTTCTTCTTTCTACTTCTTTTCATGCCCCCCCTTCGACCTGCGGTGCGTGCTGAATATTATTTTATCGCGAGAAGGGTCCAGCCGTCCCTTTCCCTCGTCAATGGTGCTAACGTCGATGTCTGGTACTAACGCTTGCCGGCTGTTTTTCGCTTTCACCCGCACATTTCGTGAACTCTTCGTCCAATAAGGGTTCGAACTCACGCCCTCTACAGCCATCGGGTTCCGAACACACCACTAGACCACCGGGGCGACCAGACATTATGTAGAATGCTATCCTGTTCTTCTATGGAAACATGGACGTGCCTTTCGCTTTGGTGCGAAAAAACAGCAAAGCCCACCCGAAGAACATCGCTTCACCATCATGTCTCGAATCGTGACCGAGTACAATGATTACCGTTTCGACGACATCACACGACATCACCAGATGCGACGTACCCGGATGTCGACATGGCGAACCGATACAATATCGCAAGTGGTTGGCGGTCCAAAATCCAAGGTGTCGTGTCCAGTGCTGATACCAACCATGCGGGTGTAATGCATTTGTGTGGAAATGCCCCCACAGTCATCAGGAGGCAGCTTTCACCTACATCGAGTCTGCTAGGTGATTAGACTAGCTGCTGACTTCCATGTTGCGGTTTACAGCAACGGCGCCCAATGTGCATACTGACTGCTGTGACATGGCACCCTGCAAGCAACGGTTCGACGGGCTGCTGCGGGTAGTTGCACTTCCTGCCCGATGTCGGACGTTCAACTCTAAGGCAGTGTTCACGAGAAGCGCGTCACCACTACCACCCTTGCCGTTGCAACCCTCCAAGAAGGGGAAATGCAAGCTGTTGGGGCTCAAGGTGCCAGGTGGTGTCACGGCGTGTCCCAAAATGTGATGGCGAACTTCACCGGTGCTTCTTGGCAGCGGGCTACTTGTATCCTGCAATAGATGTCCCAACCACATCAAGCTGTTGCCTACCTGACGAATGGAGTCGCCTGACGTGGGCAGTAACCACAGGTCGCAGCAGGGGGGAGGACCGTTGAAACGAGGCTGACATGCTTCTCTATTTCGCTAGACGGCGGGTAGCACAGCTGCAGTGCCGGTGCGTGGGATGATGTCTTGACGTCTTCAGCTGGTCGGCAGGCTTGAAAGGGGCCACGCAAACTGCAAGAGTTTGTTAATTGAAAAAAAGGCGTGTGTGTAACCGAGTTTTTTTAATTGAAATTGGACTTCCGAGTACAGACCCGGCCACGAAATGAGGCGGAAAACACATGAAACAAAGGCACACGTTGCGCATGTGGTGTTGCCGTGCATCGTGTGAAAATATAAAAGGGAGCGGCAGAGGGCATAAGGAGACTATCGTCAACAGAGGTGCAAAGCCAAAGCGTAAAGAGCAGGATGCCGAGAAATATCATCTCGCGATGCTGTTGGTCACAAGCCGTATGGCTACTTCAACTTCGTACAAGTAAAGGCTTACCATAGTTCGGCGGAAGCGGGCAAAAAGTAAACCCCGCCACATGTACACATACAACACAACCGTTAGTTTCGGGTGCCTTCTAGCCACCACCTTGTTCATCGATGGCCAGACAACTCTTCCGATTCGCAGAAAACCTGTAGACAGCGCTCCTCAACACGTCCTCTCCGGCTGTTGCTCAAGTTTTGCAGTTCAAGCTCGAACGTATTCCGACGCCTGCAGCAGCAGAATAACTGGCTCTCCCCTGCTCTCTCGGACTGCTGCATACACCATCGTTCTGCGATACGTAGGGTGTTGCCGGTTCGACAATACAGCTCCATGGCTGAACTTGATGCCAGTCCAACGACCGGTGGATCGGGGCAGGTTGATACCAGTACAACGACCAGTGGTTCGGGGCAGGTTGATACCGGTCTAACGACCAGTGGTTCGGGGCAGGAAGGAGACAGCCTTGAAGAGAGCATTGGGAGTCTGACCAATGACAGTGCGAGCATAATAAGGACATTCGACTCCGACAGCAGCATAACCACCACACGATTCAGCCCGTCAGGTGGGTTTCACAACGACCTGTTCTCGGCTTTTCGTTGGTGTTGATTTTCTTCCCGATGTCTTCGCAATAAAAACCCGTTGCCGTTTGTGTGACTTGTCGGGGTTCTCAAAAAGTACTCCGTATATACAACCTGGCAATGAAATATTACGGTAATTGTCCTGTATATAAAACAAGTTACCTCTGCAACCCATAGTAGATGGGATTGACACACACCCTGAAACAGCCTTGCTTCGTCTGAAGGCTTCTCACACCCAACAGGTTCGGAGACGGTTTTACCTTCGAGTTGGCTCGTTTTCTGTCGATTCGTAGTTGTCCTGTATATAAAACTAGTTACCTCTGCAACCCATAGTAGATGGGATTGACACACACCCTGGAACAGCCTTGCTTCGTCTGAAGGCTTCTCACACCAACAGGTTCGGAAACGGTTTTACCTTCGAGTTGGCTCGTTTTCTGTCGATTCGAACTCATGATATGTTCAAATGTCATGGACTACATATTTGCTGATCGACCAATTTTTACCACGGCCAATACGTTGGGATTTCAGTATCACTTGTTATGTGGTGCGGAGAAAGGCGATGATGATGGTAGCGATGAAGGATGAAGAAAGGGAACAGGAGGACAAGAGAATGACTAAAACGGCAATGGAGGAGGGGAGCATGGAGTGGAAGAGAGCAAGAGCTTCGAGCCAGATGAACTTCCCTACGGCAAACGACGCAGGGCTAGAGAAGAACTGCCGAAAAGTAGCTGTGAAGATGGCGATGAGAGTGATTGTAGTGAACGCACCCAAAACGAACTCGAGTGCAAGGTACCAGCCTTGGTAGAGACGTGCATCTCTCTTCTGTTGCTACCGTTTCTGGAGAATAGCTTAGCCTCCCCCATGCCGCCCCCTCACGGGGTCACATTTCATGGCATTTAGGAGTGTTCTGCGTTTTCAATCGCACTAAGACGGACGCTTTACATTGGTCAAACGGCTAGCGCGGTTGATGCTAGTAGCAATAACGCATGCGGGAGTTCTATCTGTGACCGCGGGTCGGGTCTATTCGTTTGAGAGGCATCGCGGAGGGAGTTTAGAGACAACGAGCTACGGGAATGAAGGGGCTCGCGACCACAATGGTATAGTCTAGAGGGAAACAAGTCTAGCACGGCAAAATGCAGGGAAGCGCGGGAAAAGACCCGCAAAGCAGGCTCGTGTCAGATACTAACGTCTTGTATATATGAAGAAGCAGCAATTCCACGCAATATTTCCTGAAGGAGACGCAGACACCACACGCAGACAAAAATAGGCCTTGACCCTGCGATGCGCTCTTTTATGCCCCACTTTTTCACTTCTCTGCATGCCTCGCCAGAGAACTCTGGGCTCAGCACGTCTATCTCTGCGAGGAGCTCCGGGGCAAGGAGCGCAACCACAACCAGCAGAACAAAAAGGGGGCGGAATGGCAACACGAAAAACGGACGAAACAAGCCTGTCGACCCTGCTCCTCGTACGAAGGAAGAGACTCTGCATCTTATTAAGCTGCGCGATGGGATGATCAGTGCCAAGCACCAAGAGGTGAGAAAAAAAAAGGGGAGTCTATTAGCGGCATCACCACCCCAGACAGGTTAACGGCGACCGGTTGAACAAACCTTCAACTGCCATGAAACTTGGGGCGATCTCTCACTCAGATTTAACCAGTTTTGAGCGGACAAAAGAACGTGACTGCCCAAAAAGGTTCACCCGAAAAGTTGCACCCTGTACAACGTAGGACACATCATGAACCGTTACTCCCGTACGTTGTTATGCCCAGGTGCTGCTACTATCTCGGCAAAACCAGAGTCTTCGCGAAGGCATCGACTCCGTCGAAAAGGAAATGGGATCCCTACACGGAGTGATCGAGACTAAGGACAACGCCGTCCAGAGGCATAAACGCGAAAGTGATCGCCTCCGTCGAGAAATCAAGCGACTTCATGTACGTTTCGCAGAATCGACTCTCAGCCTCGATAGCACACTGCTAGGAGTTCTAATGTAGCGTACCACTGAACGCACAGCGAGCTTCAAGTTTTGAAAGCTTACAGGATGTTCTGAGGCAGTCTGAGCTAGAAGACACGAGTCTTCATATCTTAGGATTTGTTGAATTTCTTTCGGTCCACCAAAGCACGACAAATGGAGCGTGGCGGCGGTAGGTGCTACGTCATCTCGCGCGCATGGTATTGGCCCTTTCAACAACCCCCGCCCGACTACGGGCGTCGATTGATCTGCCACGGACATTTGTGCAGGTGGAACGAGAGGAGCGCAAGGGTCAAGAGAACGCCATGATCGTGGCGGCAACACAGAACTCGAGGCTGCTCAAGGTTGTGTGCATGCATAACATGACGTCTATTCCACATTACAATACAACAGACAACCACCACTCGGATTGCGTTTTTCGGACATAGTAAACACTGGCCCTACTCGCCCCCACCAGTCGAGCTGCCTGCGCAGTCTCTCTGGAAGCCACTTTACTATAATGTAGGCGGGCACGTGCTACGACGTATGTTTCAGATCCCGTCGGTACCAGCCCCGTGGTCTACGCAGGAAAACGAACCGCCCCGGCCCATCGTTCTGCCCGTCGTATACCCCTTCAGTTGCTGGAGCAGGAAGAACTCAAGCGCGGAAGCGTTCTCACAGAACGGGATGAGGCCCTGGCCGAGGTACGTAGTGCACCACCGGGAAATTGAGGACAGCAGTGTCTGTCGATGCTTGCTTGGCGTGGTGTTGGTATGAAAGTGGTCCAAATTGTGTGAGGCGCCGAGGCTCAAGGCTCGGCGTTGTAGGCTGCAATTGCCCCGAGGACATGCCCTTGAATGGGTATCCATCCCATCTGTACATGGGGTTCCTCTTGAATCTATTCGACTATCTTTGCGAAAACCCGTCGATCGCTGGATATCGTGAATCAACTGTTTTGTAAATTAAAATCGGCGGTGTCTTGTTGATTGAGTCATTGGGCCCTTGCTACGATTGAGGCGCCAAAACACTAGGTTGAACAGCTTTGCTGTTGGGGAGCTGTGTTTTTCAGTCCGTGGGAGTCTCGATACTGTTCTAGTTACGGTCCATCGACAACTCACGCTGAGGGTGTACCGAAGAAGTCCTTCCCGTACGGGTAAGCGGCAACAGAAACGGCCGTGTCGAACTGAGACTCACTTAATATCCACACGAAAACACTCAAGAAACAGCAAGTATGCCAACAAACACCCGTGGAAACAAGTGGCCTTTTTTACGGGCGATAACAACCGTGCTTATCCGGTGCTGATCATAGTCTCCACTTGTTGTTCTGGTTGACGAAGGTGGGCGAGCTCAAGCATCGGGTGAGGACCAGTGACGAGCAACACGCCAAGCGCACCAGCGGGTTGGAGGTCAAACTCATCAAAGCTATCGGGGAAAACTCGGCCCTCAAGGAGAAGTGAGCCAAACGTTGTCCCCGTCGTCTCACGTTGCTAGTGTCTTGACACAGGACCATTTCTCAGGGTGCAGTGCCACATGGTACACCACTAATCTGCTGTCGAAAGCCGTAAGACTACCATCGCGTTGTACTGATAGCCGTCGCCGGAAACGGTCACGCTCGTTTGTTCGTGGCAGGTATTCCACCACTGACGAGCAGATCGAGACGCTTAAGAAGGAGCTCGAATCCACCCGAAAACAGGCCAAGTTCGACAAAGAAACCGCTGAGACAGCTCTCAGCACCCTGCGCCAGAGCCAATACAGGGTCATCAGCGAGCTTCAGGTGGAACCTAAACTAACGCTGGGTACGCTGCGTACTTATTGGTAGAGGTGACAAATATAGTTTATCCCTGCTGTTCAGCACGATGCCCCTTGGCTTCAACCCTGACCGAGTGCTGCCGTGCTAGAGATTGTTGTTTATTTTTGGAACGGTGGGCTAATGGTGATGTTTGCGGACTATCCAGGCGGCTAGAGACGAGCTGCAGCGATACAAGGACCAGGCGGAGACGAAGGGCGACGAGCTTGCGGTGTGCCGGCAGCAAAACGCCGAACTGGAGATGAGGCTTGGCACCCTTCAGGTGATTGACTTTGAGGATCAAGAGCTTTCGTTGTTTTCTTTGTAAGAGGCGGGAGAGGATGTGGGC